ATAAAGAGAACTATGAAACTCTAAGAAAAGAAATAGCTGAAAATGTTAACAAATGGAAAAACATACCATGCTCATGGCTGGGAAGAATCTACATTTTTAAAATGTCCATACTACCCAAAGCAATATATAATTTTAATGTAATCCCTATTAAAGCCCCATGTCATACTTTAAAGAACTCGAAAAAATACTTCGTTTTATATGTAATGAGATAAAACCTCGAATAGCCAAGACATTACTCAGAAATAAAAACAAAGCAGGAGGAATCATGCTACCAGACATCAGACTATATTATAAATAGATAGTGATCAAAATAACATGATACTGGCACAAAAACAGAGAGTTAGATGTATGGAACAGAATAGAGAACCAAGAGATGAACACAGCTACTTACTGTTAAATGATCTTTGACAAGCCAATTAAAAACATTGACGGGGAAAAGATTCCCTATTTAATAAATGGTGCTGGGCGAACTGGCTGGCCACCTGCAGAAGACTGAAACTGGATCCACTCCTTTATATTTTTAAAAGACAGCAAGCTTCTTGACATCCAAAGTAAATTTCATTTCTGTGGTTTGAAAGGCGCTTTACAATGCATTGTTATCTCAATCTGCTACGGAATCTATGGGGGAAAATAAATAAATCATTTATGGGGGAAAAATACAACTCTCACCCTAATTTTGTCCACCCCATTAGACAGACATTTAGAGTGGTAATCCCTTGTAAGCCTGCTATTTAAAATGAAAACTGACTTTACAATGTTTTTGAATGAAGGTCACGTAGATTTTTGACCCTTTTTCTGCCATTATGTAACCTCTTTATTCTCTTTTGAGTATTGTAACTAATTTTAGCTTCCTTGCATCTTTTAATTTCTCTTTACTTATTAAAACATTTATTATTAAAAACAAGGTTGTGTTCTATGCAAGGATCCTGGGGATAGATCAGTGCAAGGGGAAGGGGCCAAGGAACCAGTGGCAAATTAATGACATGAATTAATTCCAGTTCATGTTTGATAATAAGATTGAAAAGATTTTATAAGACGATTCCTGTCCTTCATTATTATCAACTACATTACTGAACTTTTAAGGAAGCTCTTTCATAGTACTGTTTTACAGGCCATTCCACAGAGGAAGAAATCAAATCATCTTTTCTAGAAACATTGAGACATGCCTGCAGCAAACCTGATGAAGTGTCATATGGGGAATTTGAAGATTACTACGAAGGTTTAAGTATTGGGATAGGAGCTGATGAAGATTTTGTTAACATCTTACGTACTCCGTGGGGGATTTAGTTTTTAATAATGCATGTGTCATCAGCCCTCAGTGTTCTATTGAGGGATAAATGTAAAGTATGATGAAACACTGGAGAATGTATTCTTTTAGATTTCCTTTTGTATTTTTTCTCAAGAAGGTTTTACTCCAGAATGAGAAACATTCAGAAGGATAAATGTAGGAGCGTATGTGTCTTTGTCCATGTATCTGCATACTCATATTTCTATAAGTTTGTAAAGATATTTCTGTAACTTTGTAAAGTCTTGGTTTATTACTTATCTCAAATATATTTTAGAGGTCATTTTTTTTTTAGCCTCAATGAGGAAGTTACATCAGCATCAAAATATATGAGAGCATCAATATAGTAATCAAGTTTCTCTTCCTTTCATATTGTTTGTTTTTGTTACCTCTTCCTCAGAATATAATTGCCAGCATTCTCAATCTGATGAATTGGAATTGGGCCTAAAGCTGATGAGACTGAAATAGTTCAACATGTTTTAAATATAGGAAAAGGTCAAGGAATTAAAGGATGTGAAAGTGATATTTTTCAAGCAGTGTGATTATAGATGGTTTTTGTATTTTGAATATTTAGAATGATGAGGATAAATCCCTACAATGTCCATTTAAACATTGACTTGTCTTATACATTTTTATCTTCTAAATTATATATTTATTCAATAGAGCACAATGTATGTAATGCTATTCTGCTGACCAGTTTTGATCTTTCTTTCTTTACTTTTTTTTAAAAGCAACACTTTTCACCAACATAGAATTATTCAGCTAGAAACAATGTAGTATGGGAGGGGAAATGTTCTTAAGATCATGAAAAGTGCCTTATTTTTGTAATTCTTACCCAGAACATAAAAGCCTATTTTGCATCCTGAAATCAACATATGTTATTCTTTTTTTTCTTTTTTAGAGACAGAGTCTCACATTATTGCCCTCGGTAGAGTGCCCCGTGGCATCATGGCTCACAGCAACCTCCAGCTCTTGGGCTTAGGCAATTCTCTTACCTCAGCCTCCCGAGTAGCTGGGACTACAGGTGCCGCCACAGTGCTCAGCTATTTCTTTGTTGCAGTTTGGCTGGGGCCACGTTTGAACCTGCCAGCCGTGGTATATGGGGCCGGCGCCCTACGCACTGAGCCACAGCCACCGGCCTCAACATATGTTATTCTAAATATCACTATACCAAACAACCAAATCATTTCCTTCTAAATATGCATTATTAATGTTTAGGCATATTATAATCATTCTTTCCAAATTATTTATTTCTTGTCCCTGGGAATACAGACAAGAGAAAATTTTATGAGTTGTTTACAAATTCATAATTTTAATTTTTATGTTAATATAAATTAGAAAAAATACGTGGTTCAATAATAAAAATATACATTTCATAGAATATGACTTTGGACATATCAGTTTATCTATTTATACTTGGCAGAACTATCCGAGGTCTGATAGATGTGAACTCAATACATTCAAAGTTATATTTTTCAGGATTTAAAGAGGTACCATAACATAGTACTAAAATATCAGAAAGAAAAAAAAATGTATAAAACTTTTAGTGCGACTTTCACCTGGCTTAATTATCTATTTCTTAGCGTTTTTTTTTTTAGTTAGATTGTTGAAATTAAACAACATGCTAGAAGAAGTTTTGGCAGAAATTAGTCTATAACTCTATTGCTAAGTCATATTTTTTTTCTTAGATTCATCTAACCTTCTTAAACTCTACAAATTGTTCTTGCATTAAAATGACTAATACTATGGGTGTTCAAAATTCATATAGTATTTTTCACTAAGAAATTTTTATTTAGTTCTCCTTTACAGAAACTTATTCTTACTATGGGTACATCTTATTTTCTTATGAATATAACCAGAAAATATATAGGCTGTTATATTGTTAAATAAATTAGATGTACTTCTGGAATTCATTATGTTAACATGGCAGAATGTTCTGATTATTAACTTTTGTCATCTTAATAAAATATTGAAATGTAGCTATTTGTATAACACACCTGTACTTCTGAGGTGTAACTTTTTGCAGTTATTTTCTTATTATTTTACATCATTGTTTCCGTATAGAGTTAGAAAATATATAATCAATTTTTGGTTATTGTTGTTAGAATTGGTGACACAATAAATCATTCTGCTTTTGAATTTGTTTCACTGCCTGCACTCTTCTTTTACTTTGATACCATGAACTCTGTTATTTAGTGTGTAGTTTAATAGAAGACCATTTAAGAGAAGTGACACTTTCAAGCATGAACAACATAAAAATTGACTTTTGAAATCCTTAATAGCCTTCAAGATTCCAAATTGGGGTCTCACTCTTGCTCAGGCTATTCTTGAAATTGTGAGTTCAAGCAATCCATCTGCCTCGGCCCCCCAGAGTACTAAGTTTACAGGCATGGGATATGGTACCTAGCTGTTTTTATTTTCTATAAATAAAATTTGACAAAATTTTTAGGAAAAAAATGATATTTTATTAGAAAAGAAAGGATATTATATAGAAATTATTAGTTTTAATGGAAAAATATATTTTTGCATAATGGAGCAATTATTATAATTAAAATGTTTCTATTTTTGGTTTTATAAGGATGTTTCAAAGATCCCCATAAATAGGAAAAATTAACAAACTAATATTATGTTTTATATTATATTTTATACCATATTTTAAATATTTTTATACTTATATGTTAGCACATAGAGAAGTATTTTGTAAAATTTTATGGTGAATATTTTGTAAATAAAGGTACATTTAGCTGCAACTTCCCATTTTCCCTATATATGTCCATATGGCTAATGAGCCAGTGATTCTCCATCAAGACTATATCACATAGAATAATTCATAATTTTGACACCACATTCTACTTTTGACTTCTAGTCAGTCTAAGCTGTTGACAATTACTTCAAGAGGAAATTGTGTACAATCTGTTATGTTTACTACAGATTATTTAATATGCTTTTATGAGATTATAGTTTGTAATATTTGCAGAAATAAAATACATACCTTAATAAACAGTAATTACTCTTATGTTGACCAATAAGGACACACATGTATAGTGAAATTGCTTAAAGAAATAGGAGGGAATGAGCCCATATAACACTAGCTGAGCCAAAGAAGACCAGAGAGAGTCTGACAGGGATGTTTCCCTACCCATTGATGAGCGGAATCTCCTGTCATATTCTGCCATGTTCAAAGTTATACAACTTCAAATGCCTCATATTGGAGCCACTGCAATTTTAATTATTATTTGTTCAGTCAGTCATTTTTATGTGGTGAGTAGGACTATCTGTGCAGTTGCCCAAGGCTATGTGAATATTCCAGATTTTTCTCCTAATTCCTATATCCACTCATTTTCACATCCTGTGGGTTCATAATTTTGAATCTCTTTCGCTCTCCCACAATGCCTTGGGTATACCGTACCCTCATCAGCTCTGCCTCCTCCCCAATCCTATTTCAACCCATCCTGAATGTTGATGTTACGATGACCTTTGGAAAAGGTACATTACTTCATGAATAAAATTCTTCCCTGATGTCCCACACTCTTCGGGAAAGTTCAGACTCTGACCCTAACACGTGAAACCTGAACGATCTGGGATCCTGAAGCTCATCTAACAGCTGGCTCCGCACACGCCTTCAGCCGTTCTCAACTACTTCACAGTTTTTAAAGTTGATTGTGAGGCTTTAAACCTCTGTATTTTCATACCTGTTTTGCTACTGTTATCTAAAACTATTTTTTCTGCTTAGTGCATTTAACTTAATCCATATGTTTGTAAGTCTGTAAGTCAGACTCTGAAATCTGATTGTGATTGACCTTCCTTGGGATCGCGTTGGCACCCTGAGCGTGCCCTGACTGCAGGAGTTATCCCTTCCTCCTGTAATCACCCCTTTGCACGCGTTTCTTCCACTAGATGGTAAACTACTTCAGGGTAGGAATAATATCTTATTTGCGATCCTGATGTCCAGCACAGTGTCTGACGTGGGGTACGAGTTAAATCAATATTTGTAGGCTGGGTCAATGTGTGATTTATTGAGCAGCAGTAACTGTGGTTTTTGCATTTGAGTATTTTGTATAAAAACACTTTGGCATAGATCATGCACGTAGTATAAATGAGCTGTATTGTGCAAGCTTCAACTGTACACAGTCAGCTAATTGCCCTAACGAAGAAAACACAGACTGCAGGCTACAGCTCTTCTCCTACAAGGCCTTATAGCTCAGGGACTACCATATTCACTTCAGTTATCTGGCACTTAGTCAACATCTGATGCTCAGCTGATTAGCCTTTTAAGCACAGTGAGTTTTATCCATGAAAATACTGTCTTGTTAGAACCCTAAGTGGTCTTTAGTCCCCCTAATGAGTTAGAACTGCTCGTGGTCACCCGACTCTGAAAGTAAGGTAACCAGATCCTTCCCCTCCCACCTGCTGCTACTTCTGCTCCTGAGCCTTTCACGTGCGATGGTTGGAACTCTTAAAAGGACAAACTACTGGATTACTCTGAGTTTATAGAACAGGTTGTATAATCCTTTTCTACCTTCTTAGTAAGAAATGTTTATTTAACAAATGTATATGGCAGAATTTATTCTGAAATTTATATCATTACATCCTGGCAGTTGAGGTGGGGTAGCTAATTTTCCCCTATCCCAAAGATTTTTGGGGACAGGGCCATGATTAACTACCAGAAGGAAACTACTACTTGTACATGACTAAGTTGGCGGAAGTGCAGACCCCCAAATGGTAGGGCATTCAGGCGTTCGCAATGCCTCCAGTGGTAAAGTTAAAGATTCAAACGCTTGCAGTCTGTAATCCAAAAGCACAGAAGGCCTGTGTCATCCCAGGGGAGTCACAATAATTCACTGCTGTGAAAACCTGTGTTGTATTAGGTATTATTGAGAAGGAAATTAAAGTGTTCTTATATAAAAAATGAAATAAAAAGGGATTTTGGAGATTTGAATGTATAAATTATAAAAATATACTAATGGATACATATTGTCAGATTTCTCTTTTTAATCCCATA